TTATAATGCCCCATTACAAGGGTTAATTCTGAGGAAGAAAAATAGGTGTGCATTAGTGGGAGGAGGAGGCAGCCTGGGGCAGAGGGGCTGAGGTAGGTGCTAGATGGAAGATGTGAGATCATGGCCATCTTAGGATCCTCAGTCCTAAGATGTAACTGTGTGTAACGAGAGTATGTAACCTTTCTAGGGGCTATTGCTATTGTGGTGGTCTGGCCTTTAGCTGTGAGTAAGGAGGAACCCATACTGCCTTCTTGGAGATCCAGGTTGTCAAGGACTAAGGAGAACTAGTTTGAGAATCAAGAGTTGGAGTTAAAAGGATTCTTACAGATGTCGGCTAGTTATACACATCTGACCATGAAGGTACATCAGTCTCCCCGAGGTGCCTCGGGAAGGCAGGGTAATGCTGGGCTCAGTGCTCTGCCTGTTCATACTGGGGTGATCCTGGGCTGCAGGGTGGTTTTTAATTTGCTGGTACTAGGGATTAAATCTAGGGCCTCACACATACTAGGCAGGTGCTCTACCACTGAGCAATGCCCTTAGCCCCTCACTGGGGAATTCTAGGCAGGTGCTCTACACTGAGTCACACCCCAGCCCCTCTCTGGGGAATTCTAGGCAGGTGCTCTACACTGAGTCACACCCCAGCCCCTCTCTGGGGAATTCTAGGCAGGTGCTCTACACTGAGTCACACCCCAGCCCCTCTCTGGGGAATTCTAGGCAGGTGTTCCACACTGAGTCACCCCCCAGCCCCTCACTGGGGGATTCTAGGCAGGGACTCTACCACTGAGCCACACCCCAGCTTCTCACTGGGGGATTTTAGGCAGGTGCTCTATTACTGAGTCATGGCCCTATTCCTCCAATGGGGGCAAAACAGTCTATCAATCTTTTTGTGTTGAGACAAGGCCTTGCTAGGTTCCTCAGGCTAACCTCGAATTTTCCACCCCTTCTGCCTCAGCCTACTTAGTAGCTGGGATGAGAGGCCTGAGTCACCAGTCCCAGCTTTAGGGTGATTTCATCTGCAGACTCAGACCCCTCTAGTCTTCCATCAAATCAGCCACACCCCTCATTCTGCATGGGGCTCCTCAGACAGCTGCCCCAGATACTAGGATGCTCTGCCCCCTCCACCAATTCCCCAGGGTGCTGGGAGGTTAGAGAGAAA